AGAAATTTTATCTTTTTTATTTCCAGAACATAATTCAATAAATCTAGACAGAAATAATGATCATCTGATGAGAAGGCATAGATTAACATGGAACTCTAAAGCAAAAACACTAATAAATTACCTTACATTTAGTAATAATACATATGTCAAAATCCATGGGATGTAGTTAGAGATAATTTTTAACACCAGACATAACATTTTTATATGTCAGAAGAAAGCAGAAGAATGGAAATTATTAAAATCACAGACTTAACAAAATGGATAACAAAGAATAATTTAAATGAAATCAAGAGCTGTTTTTTAAAATACCATTAAAATTATAAACACTAAATTTACTAAAAACAAACAAAACTCAAATTACCAAAATGAGAGAGGAATCACAAGGAATAAAAAGAAAAATTTAAATTGTAAAAGATGATTATGCATGCATTATCTATGTGATAAATTCAGGAATCTGAAAGAATGGATACTTATCAAAGATAGAAAGTTTTTTAAACCCCAATAACTCTGAAGTGCTTTAAATGCCCAACAGAGGAGTTTATATTGAATCCTAGAGTTGGAAGCCTCTGAATCTTCCTGTGCAGGGGAGTGACATGGTTAGACCTGTTGTTGTTGTTCAGTTGTTTCAGTTATGTCCCACTCTCCATGACCCCATTTGGGGTTTTCTTGGCAAAGATACTGCTTCCTTTCAGTGCAGTAATACTCCATTAAATTCACATGGGGCTGCATATTCAGCTATTCTAGAATACTTGGAAGCATACTTTATTTCTTTATACCGTTACAAATAGTGCTACTCTGAATTTTAAAAATATATGGGTCTTTTCTTGCTTGTGTTAACTGTGTCAAGGGTTTAAACACAGTATCAGGATTAGTAGGCCAAAACAAAAAGTAAAAGTTTGTAGTTAATAGATCATGTATAAGTCTAATATACATTCATATAAGGAACTGATGAAAATTTAAAGGGGCAGTATTCTCCCCAGTCACAAGGTCAATGGATAAGCTATAATTTTGTGATTATATAAGAACAAGCAATATTTGGAAGAGGAAACACATGTAAATAATTACTTAAAAATTGTTCAAATTCTCTAATAAGATATATGGAAATTAAAACAACTTTGAGATACCACCTCAGTCCAATCCCTTCACTGTTGAAATGAAAAATTTAAGGTCCGAAGACTTACCCAAATAGTAAGTTTTGGAGCCAATACTGAAACCCAGGTCCCGATTCCATATGTAGCCATCTTTCAGTGATATCATGCTGCCTGTCCCCTAATGTCACAATTTCCAACTTTGAAGAACCTAAAAGTTCATAACTGTTGTGAAACTAATCTTTGGGGGACATTTTGTAAGTACGCTTTAGGATTTATTTTCTCTTTAGTAAAACTTATTTATTATCTTGATATATGAAGATTTAAAAAAAAATTTTGCACTACCTACACCTCATGGAATTTTTTTGAGGAATGTGCAAATCACCATATAGATAGATATGATTTCTATTACTATTTTACTAATTACTAATTTTACCATTTACTAATAGATTATTTTAGCATGTTAGTGTCAATATGCCCCTTTCTTACGAAGAAATATACATGTAAATATATGTTTATGATCTTTTACAGTGAAATTTTGAACCAAAAGGAAGTCACACATACAGTGGCATATATTTGAAATTTTAAAAATATTAAATCTTTTGGATTCTAATTGACAGAGGTATTAAAATTTTAAATTAATGAAAAAGTAAAAAAAAGAAGTCTGACTCTACAATATATGTGTCACACTGTATTCATAACTTCCTTTCTGTTCAGCATTTCATAATAAAAAATTAGAAATGCATACAGTCAGGAGTCTCTTATAAAAAGAAAGGGGCATGCTTCCCCATAATAGAGCAGTGATAGTTCACATTTATATATCACTTTGCATTTTCCTTTCAACAATCCTGGGAAGTGAATAGTGCAAGTATTATTTTGCCCATTTTATAGTTTAAGAAACTGATTCCCAAGATTATGCAGCTGTTGTCAAAGTTGGCATGTAAACCCAGATATTTCTCCATATTCAATGCTTTTTCTACCAGACAACATCTCTTGATATAAGGAATCTATTTGGAAGAACCTTGCCAATAGTCACAGTAGTAGTTTCAGCACCTCTTCAAAGTTTTTACCTTTTGTTTAATGATTTTTAAGTTCCAAAGGTATTGAATCTTTGAATATAAATATAGAAATAGTTTTCAATATTGAACCTGAATTTGTGTCATATCTGGTTCTAGATGTTAGTGCTTTTCATTTATGGAAGCTAATTTACTATAATTCAAAATTTCAACACATACACTAAAAAATCTTTAATTAATCAAATGAAGTAGTTTACAGATATTACACTCTGCATGTTACATCTCATGCAATATGCCTACTTTCCAATGATGGGCTAGTGGAAGATCAGGAACCTCTTCTCTAACGCTCTAATGCCAGTAGGCCATTCCTCTTATTTATTAACATATGTCCTGGATGAAGGTCAGTCTGCACAGCAACACTAAGTAAATACAATCACTTTCTCAACAGCAATACTGTGCTTCTGTGGATTAGGCTTTGTTGTGAAGAATCCTGTAGCTTCTTACCTTGACGCCACAAAAATTTCCAAAATAACTCAGTTAAGTGTTTTGTTGTTGGGTTGTTTTTTTTTAACCATATGACATTAAGTGAACCCACAGCTAGGTGACACAGTGGATAGATTGCCTGGCCTGGAGTCAGGAATACTCATCTTCCTCAGTTCAAATCTAGCCTCAGACACTTCCTAGCTGTAGGACTCTGGGCAAGTTACTTAACCCTGTTTTGCCTCAGTTTCCTTATCTGTAAAGTGAACTGGAAAAGGAAATGGCAAACCACTCCAGTTTCTCTGCCAAGAAAACCTCAAATGAGGTCACGAAGAGTCAGACATGACTGAAACGATTAAACAACAATAAGAAAAATAAGAAATCACCAACCGTTGCCTGTTAGTTTGATCATTTTTGTGGTGGAGAAACTCATGCCTACCTCAGAAGTATAAATGGTTCTGGTGGACCTATGATACCAGAACTATGATGTATCCATAAATTTAATTTCAATTTACTCTGTAGATGAAAAGGGAAAAAAAAATTTGTTAAATTTTTTGTTTATTTTTCTGTCAGTTCATGTGTTGCTGCTAATCATAGCAAGTGCTTTGATAAAATTTTTATAGAATTGGAAAGGCAGTTGGAGTCCAACCCTCTCCTTTTATAACTGAGGAAGCTGAAGCATGAACCAGACACAAGGTCACACGACTAGTTAGGGGCTAAGCTGTGATTAGAAATGAGCTTCCACCATAGCACCAGTTGTTTCTCATTCTTAACAATGAATTTGCTGTACCAACATCCATGGAAAGAACAAGGACAGAACCAGAGCACTCTACAGTTACGTCTAAATCTGTCACCTGAGAAGAGCTGAAAAAATTCACTGCTCTCCCCCTTCAGGTTCAGGAATTCTGGGTATGACATATTGTACATATTATACAATTTAGTTGATGTGTTCGTTGTGTTTGCTGAACTGCTTTTTCAGTCTCTTTTACTTATTTTTTATTATAAGAGATGACTTGTAGGGTGTTGGGCAAGCAACTATCTATATTTGGAAGTGAAGATTATATAAAAATAAAAGATATTGATAAAATCAAATGCACTTGCTATCATGGTTAAAATCCATATAATAAACTTGCTAAACAGGAAATGAAAAATAAAAACAACATTTGAAATATGGCTAAGAATGTAGTTTTATTGTCTGTTAAAAAGCAGCTTTTGATTCCCATTATGTTGTGTTGGAGTTTCCTTGCTCTGCTGGTGAATATTGGAGGAGGGATGTCAGTGGGACCCCCATGAAAATTTGTTATTGATTAGTAGCAGCTGCCTATCTAGCCACTTCAACATCACAGAGTTGGAGTTAGGATTTTTAAAAATTGGTTCCAGAAAGGAAGAAAAAAACAGGGGTTGGGAACCTTCTAAACCCAAAGGCTTACTAAGGAGACAAAATAATACCTGTGATTGCTAGGAATGGTATTGCCACCTTAGTGCATAGTAAAGGGCCAGAGTAGGAAAAGTGAAATAATGAAAAGAGAAATTAAATTCAGTTCCACAAGCATCTATTGAAACACTTACTCCAGGGGCAAGTAGGTGGCACAGTGGATAAGCACTAGCCTTGGAGTCAGAAGGACCTGAGTTCAAATGCGGCCTCGGACACATGGCATTTACTGGCTGTGTGACCCTGGGCAAGTCACTTAACCCCGACTGCCTCACCAAAAAGGCAAAAAAACCACTTACTCTATGCCAAGTCCTGTGCTAAGTGTTAGTGATACAAAGACACAAACAAAATGGCCCCTGCCTTCAGGGAGCTTACACTGTACAGCAGGGAATAAAGCATATACACCAAAAATTAAATACCAAGTAATTTGTAAGGGCATGAAAAGAGAAAAATAAAAGAGGTGAGTAAGGTAGAGAATGAAACATGATCACTTATTGTCATTATTATCAATATTAGGCAGGTAAGTGGTGTAGTGAATAGAAGAATAGAAGGCTAGACCTGGAGTAAAGAGTTCAAATGTGGCCTGACATTTACCGGGTGCATGATTCTGCCTGGGCAAGTCATTTAACCCTTCCTAGTCACAGTTTCTCAATCTGTCAAATGAGGATAATAATAGCACCTACCTCCACAGAGGGAGCAAATGAAATACTTGTACTTTGCAATCCTCTAAGAAGTTTGTCATTAGTAGTAGTAATTCACTGAACCCTGCACCCAATCCTTTTTATAATTTATAATTTTTTGTTGTTGATCCTGAAGGACTACACAAGGATTACTAGAATTAGAAGAAGAAAACTGTATAAAAGGAAAGAAAAACAAGTGAAAGAATGGGCTTGGAAAATTTACAGGAAGTGAAGGTTCAAAGTCTTAACCCAGCACCACTGTTAATCAAACATTGAAAGATAAACTCTAGTGATTTAACACAATTTTCCTACTCAGATCTTCCTTTCAGACTCAAACGCTGTGGTGGTGGCTCAGGTTACACTTTGTGAATATTTTTGGATATGACTGTGAGTAAAACATGACTTTTGAATTTACTTTTCCTTAAGGAAATTAAACATTTATAGGACAAATGCTTCTATTGAGAAATTAAAACAATTAGTTTGCTTTAACTTTGTTATTGCACATTTCAGTTTGAATTAACTAACACTTTGTTTAAAAATCTTTAGAAGAAAAATTTTCTCCTTTTTTCATAAATTTGTCTTTGTAACTAATCTGTATTAATGTCTTAATGTTTATCATTTTAAAATATACAATAGCTTTATGCACTGCCATAATTAAATTACTTTGAAATTTAATTGTGATAGAAAGGCTACATTCTAATACTTCTTATAACTAAATATGTTATCAAGATTACGATTTAGCTAAAATATGCCTTTGGTGAGTAGCAGGCCATGTCAGGAACTGATAATAGAATCAATCTGATTTTGATTCCTGCATTTAAGAAAAAAGATGTCTTTTTCTGCCCTTTTAAAAATTATGGGAAATGGGTGACAGAACTGCCAAGTGGCACCCAATCCTGTGTCAAGTGCTAGCACAGGGGTCCTCTGGGATCTCTTTCTAAGTGTTCAGTCCTCTTACTGTCCCTGGGTATTACTTCCAGTGCCACCACCATCACACCCCAAAACGGGTGCTGCTTCTGCCATACCATGGTCTCAGCCAGTTCCTACCCCAGTGTCTACAGATTTCTCTTCCTATCTTCCTAAATTTCCCTGGGCTGGAAAAATGACTCACTGTGATTTTTTGTTGGTTTTCCCACTCAGAATTTGGTTCAGTGAGCTTATTTAAGTTGTTGAGGAGGGGTGTGTTGAAAGAGCTTGGCAAAAAATGGTGACTTCATTGTACTCTTAGAAACTTACAGTCTAATGAGAGAAACAAAAAAAGTACTTATATGAGTATATAAAAAATAAAGACAGTAATTACAAATAAATACAAAGTAGTTAGGGAGAGAGTCACTGGAGGCCTCATGAGAGGCTTCATATAGAAAGTGGTGCTTGATCTGTTTCTTGAAGGAAAAAAGGCATTTAGTGAATGGAACTTGGGGAGGTGGAGCAAGACTATGAACAAATAATTTTCTTTTTCTGTTCCTTCCTTTTCCTCTTTCCCCTTTCTCCTCCTCCTCCTCCTCCTCCTCCTCTTACCTATGCTAGAAGTATAGCGGTTACTTACAGACGCAGTCCATTACTAATCAGCATGGGCAAGCTGACCTGTTCTGTTCCCAGTCTGAGCCAGTTCACCCCTCCTGAGGCAGGCAGCCTACTCTCCCTTCCCATACTTCTACATACATTGAGACAGGTTCAAGGCAAGCACTTGATCAGCTTAATCCATTGCAGCTTAGAACTCCCCATTTCAATATAAAGATTTACCAACCTCAGTCTCCCCAAAAGTAGGAATTACATACCTGGCAACAAATAGTTTTCATGAGATACCATCAACAACCATCTGGAAAAATGTTCCAAATTGGTAATAATAAAAGAAATGCAAATCAAAATAAACAAGTTTCATTTTACAACCATTAAATTGGCAAAGATGACAAAAGACAACAATAAGAAGTCCTAAATGCCGATGGGACTGCAAAAGGATGGGTCCATTAGTGAGCTGTAGTGTGCTATGAATTGATCCAGATATTCTGGAAAACAGTTAGGTATTACATGAGAAAAGTGACTGGATTGTTAATACTCTTTGACTTAGCATTATCACCACTTAACATATGTCTCAAGGAAGTAAAAGACAAACAAGGTACAATATATACCAAAGTATTCATAACAGAGCCTGTTATGGTAGCAAGGAACTATAAACTAAGTGCTCAATGACTGGGGAATCACTGAGAAAATTGTGGTATATGAATATAATTTGAAAAATGAATATGACAAATTCAGAGAAAGATGGGAAAACTTGTATGGACTGATTCAGAGTAAAATAAGCAGAACCAGAAAAACAGTACACATAATACATAAAAACAGTATACATAATAACTACAGCAATGTAAATGAAAAAACAAAAATGATGCTAAATGCTATGTATAGGTAATGGCTAGTCTTGGCCAGAAAGAACAGATGAAGAAATTCACCTCCCTCATTTCACTGTAGAAGTCATAGGAGTGGGAGTGTAGAATTTTGTACCGGCTGACATGGTTTTGTTTAACAGCCGCTATCTTTTAAAAAATTTGTTACAGGGAAAAGATCACTGAATGTAGGGAATGGGAGGAAAACTAATTCTGAGAATAACTTTGTTCAAATAAAAGGCATCAATCAAATGGGAAAAAAGCAAATATAAAGAATTCAGAGGATTTTGGGAGTATCTATACAGACTGATACTAAACAGCAAAAGCAGCACCAAGAAAACAATATCTACAGCAACCTCAATACTATAAAATATTTTTTAAAAATCATAATTCAAATTAATGTAATGACCAACCAATTCCATAGGACTAATGAAACTTGTATTTCCCTCTTCTCAGTAGAAAAATTATATTAGTTATGGATGCAGAATGTTGTACATGTTGCCAAACATAACAAACTGGACATCATTTACGTCTAATTGTTTCTGTTAGGAGGGAGGGTTCTGTGGGCAGAGAAAGGGAACAGGGTTATTGGAAATATCAATGATGTAAAAAATATAAAACACAAAAAAGTTTATGTGAATTTTTTTGAATTATTGTTTTATTTTTTTTAATTAATTAATTTATTTTTAGTTTTCAGCATTCACTTCCACAAGATTTTGAGTTTTAAATTTTCTCCCCCTCCCACTTCTTCCCCTCACAGCATACAATCCGATATAGGCTCTACATATACATTCATATTTTCCCATTAGTCATGATGTAAAGAAAATTAGAACTAATGGGAGGAACCAGGAGAATGAAGCAATAAAACAAAACAACAAAGGAAAAGGAGAGTAAATAGCATGCTTCCATTTGCATTCAGACTCCATATTTCTGAATATGTGTGGATAGCAATTTCCATCGCGAATTTTTTTGGAGTTGTCTTAGATTCTTGCATTGCTGTGAAGAGCCAAGTCTATCAAAGTCAGTCATCCCATAATGTGGCTGTTACTGTGTATGATGTTCTTCTGTTTCTGCTCATTTCATTATGTGAAGTTAGTTTATGCAGATGTGTGCTAGCACTTGTTTGTTAACATTAATTTTTGCTTGGCGGACTTAGAATTCAGATGGTAAGATTTTATAAATATGGCCCTAAAACATTCAAGATTTGAGCCTTATATCAAGAACAGATTGATTGCTTTGAAGACATTTTAAGTTGGGTAAATTCAAGAAGTATCTTTTAAAATTCTGTCATCTCTAGTGGATAGGCAGAATAATTCAGTGAGCTAAGATGAGAACGTCTGGATATTTCTGACTCCAACTCTCTCAATTGCTGCAATTAATATCATTGTATAAAATGGGAAATATATATTGGCTTTTATATAATACAGCAGAATTTTTACATACTTAAGAAAAAGGAGAGTAGTAATTTTTTTCAGTTAATTTTTGCTTACAAGGAAGGGTGGAAAAATTAGTTGGACTTACACTTACCATCTGAAATGTACATTATAATAACATCCACACTTAATATAATGGAAACAAATTATCTTTAAAGCATGGGTAATTATCTCACAATATCTTTTACATTAAATCCACTTTAACATTAAATGCAGTAGATGTAACATCAATGCCAAGTGCCACTAGACAGAGTCATACTTAATCAGTAATCAGCATAATTTAACTGGCAGTCCAGAAAGTGTTAGAGATTAAAGTCATAAGACATGGGACCTGCGGAAGGGAACCTTAAAATCTAATTTTGGAGACCGTGCATATATCTAGTAACGCTTGTGTGGTATGTGACCATTATCACTGCAGGAAATCTCTTCTCCCAGATTTTTCCCTACCCCACCACTTTTGGAAGTCCAGTGGAGAGAGTAAACAATTCCTAAAGTATAAAGGTTGAAAGCCAGTTTCTACAGCTCTGTCTTCTCCTGAGGGGGAAATCTCTCCCACCTCCCGCTCAGCCAGTCACCACCAGTTAGATTAAAGAGCAATCCTAGTCCCTGGGGAACAATCAAGCGTTACCTGTGACATCCAAGCAAGGGTCAGGTGTCTCAGCAAGGAACCTGTGTCCAGGCCCAGGGGAGGTGCCCCAGTCCAAGTCAGAGGTTCCTTTGATCACTTCTGCAACACTAGGTTGGTAGTTATGGCTAAGGAGTAACAATGAGGTTTTCACAGGTGAAGTAGTATTGCTTCAAACACTTGCATAGTTTGATCACCTGAAAGGGATCTGGACCTGGCATCCAGGCACTTGAATGTGGGTTGATTCAGAAACATTGGGAAGGGACTATTTTGAAAAAGACAAGAAGTCAAGATTGGCCCCAAGAAGAAATATAAGAAAACACATGTAGAGTTGGGCAGGAAGGTTAAGTGGGGAGAGAGTTAGTATGGATGAGGGGGAAATATAGGTGATATAAATACAAAACATATCAATTAAGAATCTGTTTTCAAAACCAAAAAGAAAAGTATCAGTGGTCCCCAATTCCCACTAAATGAAAAAAATCTATCTAAGAAGGCCAAGAAACAGAAACCCCACCTTGGCTTGGAGGGTAGTGAAGGACGGATCACCATTAAAACATGGCAATAAGCAATTTGCATCCAGCCCATGTTCTTCCTCTTACAATGAAAAAAAATGCATCTGTTCTCTTTGTTATATCAACACTGCCCTACTTGCTATGCCACACATGATACTCCCATCTCCTAACCCACGTCTTTGCGTTGGCTGTACCTAATATCTGAATGCTTTCCCTCCTGACTTGAATGCTTTCCCTCCTGACTTCTACCTCTTAGTTTCTCTGGCTTCCTTCAAGACTCAGCCCAAATCCCTTCTGCAGGTGGCTTGTCCCAGTCCCTTTGCTTACTAGTAGCGCCTCCCTCTCTGCATGGTTGTGGCAATGACCTCCAACTTTCCCCAGGCTCCCTCTCTGGGCTGAGGCTGTTTTTGCTCACCTAACTGCACCTACTTTGGCAGGTCAGGGGGGTTACCCAGAGGAGAGGCCTAGAGGCTAGTACTCAACATTTAGGGTCTTCAGTATAAGTCTGGTTGGAAGAGTACCTGTCTATACTTAACACTGTAGTTAACACTGTTACCTCTAAGTTCCCACAGTTATATTTCCAATTTACAATAAAACAAACACAATGTTCACCACTGACTTTTTTTTTTGAGGCAGTCAGGGTTAAGTGACTTGCCCAGTGTCACACAGCTAGTGTCTAAGGTCATATTTGAACTCAGGTCCTCCTGGCTCCAGGACCAAGTACTCTATCCATTGCACCACCTAGCTGCCCCCTCATTGGCTTTTTAAAATTATTTTTTTCTCTTTCTCATCTTTCCCCCACTCTCCCCAAGGACCCCTTTTAACAAATGTTAATAGTAAAAAAATTTCCACATTGGCCTCATCCAAAAATATATCTTATGTATATTAGTCTATAATCCCTTAACACCATCACTTCTTTTTTTAAGATTTTTATTGGTCTTTACTTTTTAATATCATCAATTTTCCTCAATATCCTTTTCTCTCCCAGAAAGCCATCTCATAACAAATAGCATTTGTTAATAACAAAAAAAGTAGAGGAAAAAATAAGCATAACTAATCAATACTTTTTAAAAAAAGTCTATAAATATGTGCAATGTACAACACTCCTGGACTTCCCACCTCTGCAAAGGGGTGAGGTGGAAGGGTCTTCATCCATCTCTTCTTTTAACCATTCTTATTCTTTATAATTTTGCAACATTTGCTTTTGATTTTTTCTTTTGTGGTTGTTTTAACATTTGCATGAAACATTTCTAAAACAATATGGTGAAAAGAATAATCATAACATTTAGCTACTATGAGACAAAAGCAGGAATAATTATAGCATAACATTTACTCAGTAGAAGGCAAAAGTAGAAGGCAAAAAATCAAAATATAACAACTCAACCACAAATCTCAGCCACATTCTCCCACCAACGTATATAGTATGGGTTGGAGAGTCAGAGACTGGACACACACAAACACCTAATGAGAAGGCGTCCAAGTACGGAGAGACCCACGTGCCTAGTGTAGCTTACAGCTGTGGACTACAGACCTTCATATGTCCTTGATCTCATTAGGGAATAGTCTATACCACATGTCACCTACTGGGCAAACCCACAGCTGGCCACCTGCTCACATTCTAGTTCTTGCAGCTCTCTTGCTGCCCTTTATTTAATCAGTGTACAATATGGTTTTCCCCAAGCGGAACATGACCTCCTTGAGGTCAGGGACTGTGTTGTTTCTGTCTCTGTGTCCTTAGAACTTAATACGGTACTTGGCAGACAGTAGGCACTTCATAAATGCTTACAGAACTGAAATGAGATCTCTTGAGTGCCAAATGAGTAAAATGAACAAGAGTGTTAGAGGAGATGGGGAGAAGATGAGGTTAAGATGGCTTTGTAGAGGATGTAGGTCTTGAGATGAAAATGAAAGAAGGGTACAATGTTCAGGGTTATAGGAGGTTGTGGAGATCAGGCTGGATTTCAGTCATCCCCTCACCCCACTACAAGTCTTCAAACAAAGGGGACAACCACTCATAGGATATACTGTAGAAGAGATTCTTGTACGCTCAGGAGTTGGATTAGGCAGCCCCCGAGGTCCCTTCCAATTCTGAGATTCTCTGAATCTCCTAAAATCAGACCCAGACATATTTGTAGTCCTATTTCAGAGATTGTCACATTAAAAGAATTTTGTTTCCATGACCATTTTACTTGACTCTCTAGAGGAGTGACTTGTTTCTTGAACACTGTTAGTTCATGTCCTTATCCTTCAGGCTGTATACTTAGGTTGCTTTTGTCTTTCAAATTCTCAAAGTGTTATGTTTAAAAGAGGCTTAGCAGACTCTTTAGCACAGTACCTGGCACATAGTAAGGGCTTAATAAATACCTGTTGATTTTATTTTCTGTAGTTTAATCTCAAGATATAAAACAGCATCAAATGACAACGTTGTCTAGCTGAATTTTTAGGACCTACTCTGACCTCCACATTTCCTTTTTATCTTCTTTTGCCAGTTCTACTTAATTTGCCAGTATGATCATCAGTGAGGTAGTGAAATGGCTAGAGAATTAGCCCTAGAGTCAGGAAAATTAGGTTCAAGTTCTGTCTCAGAAGTTCGGTCTATGCTAAGTGCAAGACACTTAATTCTCAATTGCCTCCAGACAACAACTCTCTAAAACTAGCCATGAGCTTGTTCATTTTTTGTAAAAGTAGTTTTGATTCCATAATTAGTTTCCTTTTTTAATCCTCTGTATGTTATTTTATACATTCAAAAATATTATTCTGAGAAGGGGCCCAAAGACTTCACTAGACTTTCAAAGGGGTCCACGACATACACGCACAGAGAAAGGTTAAAAACCCTGTTAGTCTTAGCGTCTTAGAGAATATGCAGATATTCATTGGTAAAAGAAATTCCTCATGGGAAGCTTACTTCCCTGATGAAATCATGGATCTGGTCCAAAAGTGATGATGATCTAAAGGGTATAGGAGATATGTATACATTTTTAAAATTAAAGAATTTTTTTCTAACAGTGTCTGTGCCCACATTTCATCAATCTGTAATCATCAAGTATTTTGTGAACACTCCGAATTACATGTTAAGTATTGCATGTGATTTAAAGCAAAATGCAAGGTCTCTGTCCATGAAATTATATCTGAACATTGTGGGACAACATAGATGAGACAAACAAGAAATGTGATATGACACATGACCTTTTAAAAAAATATTAAAATTAACACGTTCTGTTTTGGGGGAGACTGAGGAAAGATCTGGGATCTGACTGCTTATGTAGTATTTCTACTACTGCTGTAATTTTTGTTCTGGATTTGTCTCTTTAATTGGCCCTGTGGAACTGGCTGATGTTCTGTGTTTCAGATGGTGGCAGCTGTGGACTTGGCACTCCCTCCTTCTGGTTTGGAACATGAGTATAACACCCTCCTAACCCAAGATGCTGTTCGGTTTCTAGCTGAATTGGTCTCAACTTTTGATCTGGATGTGGATAAGGTTGTTTGGCACCAATTTAAATTTGCTTTGATTGACTGTGATTTGAAAATACAGATGGTAAAGCCTGAACAACAGCAGCATTCTGGTTCTCTTGGCAGGAGGAATGAGCTGCGTTTTAGGGATGAGGTTGGCAGCAGCTGTACATTCCATGAAGCAGGAACCAGTTCCACAGCCCTACAGCCAAGAAATGACTCAGGAGTGTAGGGAAGTGTTGTGTTTCTTGTGCATAGATTTTAAGAAAGCATTTCTCTCAATAGAGCAGAATATGGCCCTGAAAGCTTTTCTCAGAGAAGGGGTCTCTTTTACATGTACATCAGAATTATATAAAACTTCAAGGTAAATGTGGCGAGTGGAATAAAAGTTCAACAGTTCACTGAGTACTTAACATCAGGTGAGGTGTTAAACAGGCAGATGTTTGCCAAAGCCAGTATCTTGTGTGAAGTCCAAAGATGGGCTGGATTCTCTGTTGACAGTGAGATTATTCAAATGCTCCTGTTCCTAGATGACATTTTGCTAACTGACCCCCAGAAGATTGCAATGCTGTCTCCGTGAAATATCCAGCAAGGTGAAAGAATTTTATTTAATTGTCTATTCTGGAAAAAACAAAGCACATGAGAAATGTATGTTGCCCAGACGATGCAATAAAGCTAGACAGGACGAGCTCATGAAATTGGTCTATTGATAGGCATATCTTGTACAGGTGCTAACAATGGCCTAGTGAAGTAGGCCCAGTATTGGAGGGTATTGGGCCATATTTCATTTTGTAAATTACAAGTGATCCCATTTTTAATTTCAGTCTTTATGAGACACTTATGAGCAGTTTCAAAAAGAGGTACCTATTTGTGGAAATCTTTATTTTATATTATTTTTATTTATTTTATTATTATTTATATTATTATTTTATAATAATCTCTGATAAGGAATTTTTAACTAATTTGAAGATTAAAATATATAAGCATTGTCCTTTGAACCTCAGCTTCTTCATCTGTAAAACAAGGAAGTTGGACTAGATAGATAGCTTACCTTCCAGATCTAAATCTATGACCCTGTTATATTTTGTTTTTTATTTTTTAATTTAATTTTTTTCAGTTAACAAAGTCTTTATTTTTTAGGCATTTGAATCAAATTTCCCAGGTTTTAGAAAAATACTTCATAGAAATCAATTTTATTTTTTCTGCTTTCAAGATAGTTTCTGCAAATTTAGATTTGATACAGAAAAAGGAAGTATTTTAAGTTTTTGTATCCTTAATTAAAAGTTGACACTTTTTTCAAATAAATTTAATAAGCATTTTAATATCAAAGTGGCAAGTCACTTTTTCAAAACTATTTCTCTTCATGGGAAGGAAGAAAAGGGATGTTTATTTCATTTTTTTCCCTGCAATACCAGGAAAATTGACAACTAGAAACATGCAAAAATAACACTAGAGCAGTCATTTAAAAATTTTTTTTAGCATGTCACACAGTTCCTTCCTTCCAAATAATTTTTTGAAGTCCAAAGTCTGCCTCTTAGAGAGAACAAAGAACCAATTTCTTCCAAAACAAAAAAAGTGGAATAAAAATTCTTTTATTGCCTTTGAAATAAGGCTCTGAGGTATAGGGGGTGGGTAAAGACAAGGAGGAGAAAGAGGGAAGAATAGATTGAGATGGAATTTTCAGGATAAAACCTACAAGCTTGAGAATCACCAGCTGCCCTGAAACTAAAACCTAAGAACTAGCCCAGCTAGAACTGTGACCTGGGTTGAGGCTTTATAAAGTGAATATTTTTTTCTCTCTCTACTCTCTAGATTTTAAAAACCAAATACTAGCATAACTAATGTTGTTTAAATGTATTTGGTTTTTTGTTGTTTTTTTTTTTTTTTAGGCAATGGGGTTAAGTGACTTGCCCAGGGTCACACAGCTAGTGTTATGTGTCTGAGGCCGGATTTGAACTCAGGTCCTCCTGAATCCAGGGCCGGTGCTTTATCCACCACACCACCTAGCTGCCCCCAAATGTTGGAAGTTACTAAAAAGATATTTATGTTGGACAGATCCTGCAACAGCGAATTGCTCGAAAAGTTCAGTTGGACCTAACCAATGACCTCCCAGATTTCTCCCCTCATACTTTGCACATTCGCAAGGACAAAACCTGGAAAGTGTTGCCGGTTCCTAGGAGACTGCAGAACCGGCAAGTGGATATTGGTGACACTGCACCTTACCAAACTGAGCGATTCCTCAGTGCCTTAGGATCCACTGCTCAAGGCATTCAGGTATAGTGGTATTATGTGGGGGCTTCTAGTTCATTGTAGCATAGCATTGTATATGTAGATAAAGTTTATGTTACCTATCATGTATTATCACTGTTATATATTCAGCAGGAAATTATTGGTAGGAATCATGGTGATGTGGTACTAATGGTTGAATATGTGATTTTTTTAATCATTAATTGAATAAATTAAAAATACCTGGTCTGGAGCAGTTTTACTTCTCATTGCTAACTTTGTTTCCTACGTATATAAAGTATGAGACATTCTTATTGTTAATTTTTTTAAAAAACTAAAGGTAGGTCTTTTCTACAGCTGTGGATCTGTTACATTTTACACTCAAACCCTCACTACTGACACACTGAAGTTTTTCAGTTTGTTGCAGGATTATTCTAGCTAAGGCAGTCAGTTTTTTACTGTTTAAAATGGTATGGTCCTCTGAGTGAACTGATTCACCAACATTCAGGGAGTGCAGTGATGATGGTACATGTCCTTTCCGTTCTGTATCCCATCAGAAGTTGGTAAATTGGCATTAATCCATGTCTTATGAGTTGGTTAGAATGAATCAGTTTTCCACGTCCTCATTACTCCTGGGTGAACTGATAACATTCCAGGTCTGGAACCTGCGAAGCTGATGGGGTCTCTGAACTGGTGATGACCCCACCAAAGTACATCTTCAACTCAAGGCCTCAACTGAGTCAGCAAGCATACCCACAATGACAATAATTAATAAGAATAATAAACATTTATACAGTGTTTCCTAGATGCCAGGCATTGTGCTAAGTGCTTTACAATTTTTATCTCATCTGATCCTTACAGCAATTCTGGAAGGTAGGTGCTATAATTATTCCCATTTTACAGTTAAGGAAACTGAAGCAAAAAGAAGTTAATTGACTTTCCCAGGGTCCCACACCTAGTAAGTCCTGAGGTTGGATTTGAACATCAGTCTTCCTTATTCCAGGCTCAAAACTCCATCCACAGAATCACCTGGCTGCCTTCTATAAAACATGAGAAAATAATATTTTGTTTATTTCTACCATTAGGTTGATTTTGATGATGGCAATTGTCCAACTTTCTTTAATCAAATTAAGGGTATCTATAATATCTTCCAAGCTGTTCACCATAAATTTCCAGGTGAGATTAAATTCTGTAATTACTTTTTGAACATATACTCTGTGCCAACCACTGATTGATTGTGGGGAGGGCAAAAAAGACTACGAGGTTTTTGTCCCTAAAGAGCTTCTGATCAAGGTATAGAGATCAGATTTATATATTTGAAAAGTTAAATGATTTAAAAGTTAAGTTTTAACCAAAGAGCTAGCATAAGTACTATCTGATTGAATGCCAAATGGTACAAGGACTCTGTGCAGGGTTTATAGACTTGAAAAACCACTACTGTGGGTTGTTGGAGTACTCAAGAAAATCTCTGTTGAAGTGGGCTGAGCCATGAAGTATATAGAAGTAGGATTTGATTAGGAGGGGTGGAGATGGAGCAGACACTATACACAGGGCGAATGAAGTGAATTAAAGAGTGGCAATAGAAACAATCACGGATTCAGGGGGTCAGTAAGTAGATCCAGCCTAGCTAAAACTTATCCAATACTGGGAAATAAGGCCAGGAAAGTAGATTGAGGTTAAATTACATGAGGCCTTCAATGCCAGACTAAAGCATTAACATTGGCAATGTTTTCAAGATTTCTGGCTTTGTACTACATGCTATATATAGTTCAGGATATGTCTGTAAGAATTTATCTCACTTTGGATTACTTTCTTTTTATTATTTTAGGCATCCCACCCATATCCCAAGCACCTGTTCTAATGCTTAGACCAAGAGCCTGGAACATGGTAGAGCACAATATGATGGTAGTAATACTTTTGATGTACAACTGTAGTAATATGTTTTAAGGCAAATAAGGCATTTTTATTTATTCAGTTGAAGTATCTTTGAAATTTTGGACCTGTTCCCACATGGATCATTAAAGGGCTGGTAATGGGACTGTTTATGCCTTGTCTTTTTCTCAGAAGTGGGATTCTTGCATCTTTTTGTAGGTGAATGGAAAACAGGTCCCGGGACCCCTCTTTGATTATGGTCTGCTGATGTTCCATGTGGGGAAGACCTTGTATGACAATGAAAGCGGCCCCTTCTTTTATCTTTCAAAGGTAATTTTTACAACATAAATAGCTCCTTTTAATCACTCAATAAAAGTAACCCAGAAATTCTTAATGAAAGACTCTCCATTAGCAGCATTGAAAGACAACTGGAACAATATTAATGCTGTCTCTTAGGTTAGAGTTTAGTTATAGGAATAGTTCACTCCAAAAAGCTCATCTGCCATCACTGAAATATCTATACTCTTGATTTGTGTCCACAAGTCCAGTTAAAAGATCACTGCAGTAGGAAAAATGGCCCTCTCATATGGCTTCCCTGCAACATTTCCAAGTTGACATCCCAAGAGCAAAAAATCTCTCTAGATACATCTCAGAATCTGAAGAGGAATTTTTCTTAATGCTTTCGTGGATCTTGATGGAATGTCTGAAAAGTATTTAGTCTGCAATTCAAGAAGACATGAGCCATGCTTATTCGATTGCAGAGCTTTTACATACCACCAGAAGCCAGCCCTGAGCACCTTTTCACTGCTGTGCTTACATCGAGTAGGGTGCTCATTTAGATAGAGCCTATCTCACTTCAAACACTTTTTAGCTTGGGATCCATCTCAGCCAGATACTGCAGATGCTCATTCAAAGCATTTTTCCGAGGGGAGCCTAACAGAAGAGGCAGGGGGTAGATCTGGGAAAAAGAATTTGTGTGCCCTAAGGGGAGGACTGACAACTGCATCCCTTCTGGTTCCTTTGCCCTGCTGGCCTTTTTCAATGCAATCAGCCAACCTATCTTTATTAAGCACTTACTCTGTACCATGCATTGTCCTCATTGCTAGTAACACTAAGACAAAAGTGAAACACCCCCTTGTCTGAGCAAGCATTTATCAAGGGTGCCTGGTATCTGCTGAACACTGCACTAATGGCTGGGACTTCAGAATGAAAAATAGTCCCAACCTTGAGAAGCCTTGTAATTTCAGATGTGTTTCATGTTATGATGAAATACTTTGTCCCGTGCCCTCTCCTTTTCTCTCTCTGCACTCTCTATCTCCATGTGCTTCTCTTGGGGGATGTAACATGTGGATTAGGGTGGTGGCCATGCGAGTGGAGAAGAGACGGATGCAGGAGACTTTGTGGAGGCAGAGCTGAAAAAACTTGGCAACTAACTGGACACAGAAGAGTTAGAGAAAAAAGTCCAAAGTGATTCGAATATGATGAAAATCAGGAAGTAAAAAGTCTTGGCCTTGGGTTCCACTTCATAAGTATAGCACTGAGTCTAAGCTCAATGTTAGTCAGCGATGTGATGTGGCAACCAAAAAAAGGTGCTTTGAGATTTTGTGCTGCATTGAGAGGTGGAGCTTCCAGAAATAAGGAGGTGCCATAGGTTTTGTGTGCCCTGCCCTGGTCCGATCACACCTGAAATATTGGGCTCAGTTCTGGTTACCGCTATTTAAGAAGGACATTGATTCAGCTGGAGAATATTAAGAGGAAGGCAGCCAGGATGGTGAAAAGCCTTGAGCCAATGTCATATTAGATTGGGGGAAGGAACTGAGGATGTTTAACTTGGACAAGAGAAGATTCAAGGTGGGACATCAGTCGTGTTTAGGAAGAGTGACTAGATTTGTTCTGTCTGACCCTAGACAAAAGAACTTATGAGCAACGGAGGAAAGTAGCAGAAAAGAAAATTTAGGCCTTGAATAGAAACTTGCTAACAGTTAAACTGGCCACCTTGGGAGGTGGTAGGTGCCCCCTTGCTGGAAGTGTGCAAGCACCAGCTAGTTACTCACTTGTCAGTTATAATAAAGGGTCACCGTTTGAGTATGGGTTGGATTAGATGCTGGGTGAGTTTCCTTCTAACTCTCAAAATTTTGTTCTTGTGAACTCAGAAAGATAGTAGTATCCTGAACAGAAATAGGAAAGTTTAGGGGGAGATGTTAGTTTAGGGGAGAAGGTAAGTTTTTTTTTGGATTTGCTGAGTTTGAGATTGTTATGGGTGATCCAAAGGGAGATAGTGGTCAATTGGTGATGTGGAACTGGAGCTTAGGGGAAAGACTAAGCCTCTAATTATATATCTGGGAGTCTTCTTGTGTAGATATGGTAATACAACCTATGGGAACTGACAAGATCAGTAAGAATGAAAGAGTAGACACAGAACAGAACCCAGAACAGAATCTTTCAATGCTATGACAATTATTATTTATGACATCACCAAATAATTATATAGTATTGAGAGTAAAATCGTGGAATTAAAAATAGAGGTATTATAAATGGCTATATTTTGAAGTGTCCTTCATTGCATGCTACTTTTACGATATTGGTTGTATCCTGGGCAAGCACCTACCTTGCCTGACTTTAAGCCCAATTCTGCTAGAAGGAAATTAAGCAGCAAGCTATCTATTAAAAATAAGACCATTATTAATACTTATATTGATAATGGATTGGTGATTTAAGCAGCAAGCTATCTATTAAAAATAAGACCATTATTAATACTTATATTGATAATGGATTGGTGATTTTATCAGCATGAGAAACTCCAGATGTGAACCTTCCTCCAGTAAAGCATTTTATAACATTTATGACTTAGCAGATAAGTTCTGTAGAGTTGCTTGAAGTACACAGAGATTAAATGACTTGCTTAGAGTAATATGGCCAGTATCAGAAGGAGGATTTTTAACCCAGATCTTTCTAACTCTTAAGTGTAGCATTCTATCCACTGTACCAGGCCTGTACAACATATGGCCCACAGGCTTCTTACGGCCTGGCAAAGGATTTCAGGGGGCCCACCACTATATACTGTCTTCTGTTTGTCACCTGACCTGCGGTAACCAGCGACTTTCGGTCTATCTCTAGTTACTTTTACTTGGAAAGTGGGCCACTAAAAATCTATCTGCAGCCCGAAGAAGTTTAGCCTGTTTTAATTTTGGCCCCTACCTACTGCCAGGTTGTGCAGGTCTGCACTATACCGTACTACTTCTAATATTATTAGCCCTATCTTATTTAGAAAAGAATTTAGAAAGAAAAAAACTGAAACAAAAAGATGGTGTTTGTGCAGTCATGGGCTGGACCAATAAAATCAGTCAGTATGGTTTTTCCAGGAGCCAGGATAGCAGAGTGAGCAGTAAATCACTGTGGCTCTCCCATATTCATCTCCATAAAACCATAACATAGCACCCCAGAACAAACCCTGGAACAGTGGAACCAGCAGAAGATGGGCTAGAGCAGTCTTTCAGCCCAGGAGACTTGGAGGATTGTCAAGAAAGGTCCATCTCACTTGGGTAAAAGGGGAGCACATTCCATGACAGGAGACATCCCAGCAAGCCAGCAGCAAGCTTTTGAGGGATCCTGAGCCTCACTGTGGTGGAACTGGCATACACCAACACCAGGAACCATCCCTTCCTGCCACGTCAGCATAGCCAGGGGAACTGGCAGACTCCAGCTCCAAGAACCACCACACATTTCAGTGCAGCTCAAGGCAATCAGGCATCTTCTGGCTGCCAGACCTCCACGTGCTTCAGCTTAGCCCAAGGTAAACAGGCATCGTCCAGGGGCCAGACTTCTATGTGCTTCAGTGTAGCACTGAGGAAACACAGAAAAACCACACCTGGCCTCAGTACACACCAGACACAACCACTGGGACCCCAGCTCAGCACCAGGTAAGCTGCCAGATCCAGCCTCCAGCCTTAGGCAGCACCTAAGGCCCCAGCGCCCAAAACCAGTGACCAAGTCCCTGACCCCCAGCACAAGAAGCTTGGGGCAGTGCCCCCTTGTGCTCCATCAGGAGAGCTCAACTTTAAAAGCCATGAAATAGGGGGAAAATGAGCAAGAAGCAAAAATGAACATTGACCATAGAAAGTTACTACAGTGACAGGGAAGATCAAAACACAAACTCAGAAGAGGACAGTATTATCAATATACCAAGATCTGAAACTTCAAAGGGGGATATGAATTGGTCTCAAGTCCAAAAAGCCTTCTTGGAAGAGCTCAAGAAGGATTTTAAAAGTCAAATAAGAAAGGTAGAAGAAAAACTGGGAAAAGAAATGAGAGGTATACAAGAGAGAGTCAACAGCTTAGAAGAAGAAGGACGAAAATTGACTGAAGAAAACAATTCCTTAAAAAATACAATTGGCCAAATTAAAAAAAAATCTGCTGAAAAGAACAAATTCCTAAAAAGTAGAATTGGCCAAATGGAAAAGGAGGCACAAAAACTAACTGAAGAAAATAATTCTTTAAAAATTAGATTTGGTGATCCAACCATTTTGGAGAACAATTTGGAACTATGCCCAAAGGGCTACTAAAATGTGCATACCCTTTGATCCAGCAATAGCACTTCTAGGGCTATATCCCAAAGAGATCAAACAAATGGGAAAAGGACCCACATGTACAAAAATATTCACAGCAGCTCTTTTTGTGGTGGCAAAGAATTGGAAATTGAGAGGATGCCCACCAATTGGGGAATGGCTGAGCAAGTTGTCATATATGAATGTAATGGAATACTATTGTGCTATAAGAAATGATGAGCATGCTGACCTCAGAAAAACCTGGAAAGACTTATATGGTCTGATGCTGAGTGAAGTGAGCAGAACTGAGAGGACTTTGTACACAATAATAGTCACGTTATGCGATGACTACTATTGTTAAACTGAACCCTTCTCAGCATTACAAGGATCTAAGACATCTCCAGAGGCCTCGGGATGGAAAATGCTGTCCACATCCAAAGAAAGAACTGTGGAAGTCGAATAGCTATCACTTATTTTTTACCTTCTGCTGGATTTTTGTTTCATCTTTCTGATGGTTCCTCCTATTGGTTTTAATTTTTACTTACAACTTCATTAATGTGAAAATATGTTTAATGGGTATGTAAATGTAAAGCCTATATCAGATTGTGCGCTGTCTTGGGGAGGGTGGCGGGGAGGAAGTGGGAGAAAAATTTTCTGCTCAAAAGCATATGGAAGTGATTGCTGACAAATCAAGATAAATTAATAAAAATTTTTTAAAAAGGAATAAAAAAATTAGATTTGAGCAAGTGGAAGGTAATGACTCTATGAGACATCAAGAATCAGTCA